TATATATAAAATATCTCAATTTCAAGTTAAGAAAAACTAAAGCTTTTTTACTAGTAATCTTAGTGAATCATCTTTATTAATAATAGTCTGAATACAAATGGCATTCAAGAATAGTTTAATTATATTTGAATATGAGTATTTTTTGCTGTTCTCAGTAATTATATTATCAAAAATAGCTAACTATAATAAAATACGCCTTAATAAAAAAAAAGAATTTTTCGCCAATATAAATATAAATAAAGCAGAATAAAACTGAAAAATAACACTTTGGATAGCATTTCGTTAACTATAAAAATCTTATCAATTCACAACAAAAGTAGAATTATAATTAATTAATTGTATGGTTTTTTGATCTCCATTCAAAACTCATTTACAATTAATTATCTCGCATTTCGCTTTATCATTGTTGAATTTCAAAATTTTTCACACATATCCAGACAAAAGAATATTTTCCAAAATGGATTATTATTGCCCAAATTAATTCTTATTTTCTCTATTATATATAAATTTGTGATAGATTTTCAAATAGTAAATTCTAATTCTATTAGAATTAGTGAAATAAAAATTATTTTATTTGGGTATTTTATGCAACAAGAAGGAAAAATTGAACTGCAATTGGAAGACAAATACAAAGAACAATTAATAATCTAAATTTTTCAAGAAATATAAGAATAAATTCTTGTGGATAATAATGATATTTTAGATGACTTGAATCCATTAATTAGCCAATTAAATGAGAAAGATAGGGATAAAGTACTTTATTCCATTAACAGATATTTTCCAGATCATGATTTTGTGAAATTAGGCAATTTTTTGATTCAAGATGAAAATTAGGAAAAATTAGATTATTAATAAATGTACAATTTAGATCGAAAAAACAAAAATTATGAATCCATTCTCTATAACATTAAAGTTACAAAATATAGAATAGAAAATAAGATTCCTGAATCATTTTTAGCGAATATATGTTAACTATAAAAAATATAGAGCCATTCTTTAATGATCTTTGATTTGCTTGACTATTCTTTAGATTAAAAGGAATTATCCTAAATTGAAATTTTAAAAATTTTATTAGAATTATTTTATAGTGTTACTCTATTTGATTAGAATGAATTGAGTGAATTTGATTAATTAATTGGATCTTTACTAACTAAACAATTATATGAAATAAATTTTTACACTGAAAATTTAAAGAAGTAGGATCCTCTAAATTATGAAGTTTTTGTATAATTCTTACAATAAACACAATTAAAAATCATAAATGATTCTAATTGTGATTTATAACTCTTCCTGTAAAAAAACAAACAATACTGCAATTTATTTAGGACTTTAAATAAAGAAATATTAAATAGCAGAAAAAATTTATAATTATTTATAAGTTCACTAACTAAAGTCCCAGTTGAAAACTCTAAATTTAATTAAATAGAAGTATATCTAAACTGTATTGAAAATATAGATGAAATATTAAACGACCTCTATTTACAAATTGTGTTTTTTTATTGGAAACAGTACTGTCTTAAATTTAATTTGTAAATCGATCTTAAATCTTAAGAAGAAAACTTACAAACCATAGTAAATGAAAGAAAATTTATATTTATTGAAAGATATCTAAAAAAATAGTAATCAAATACATAAGATAGAATATTTTTGTTTGTTGTTCATAGAATTTGTTATTTTGTTTAGGAAGGAGATAAATTATTAGACAAAAACATATTTAAAAATTTCTAAGATTAAATGAATGAAGTTTTAAAAGCTTATAATAGTATAAATTAAGCTGAAATAGAAATATTTATTAGAGATAAAGTCAAATTTTTTGAATTTTGGAAAAGAATACATTTATTAAAATTTTACAACGAAATCAATGCTTAAGAAAAGAATACAAGTGCTTATCTCATTAAAAATCTACTCTGGATAAATAGATAAAGCGATGACTTATATGATATTATTAAAACCCTTTTTAGTTAGAAGAATAAAAAATTATAAGAACTTGTTTTGGTTATAGATAAGGCTATCAATGAAAAAAGATTTCAAAGCAATGATAAATACAGCAGTATTTAAAAAAAGAATTTTTTGAGAATTATTTAAACTTAATTTCCAAAAGAAGAAGAAAGTTTTTTTTTACTTAAGAAATTGTTACATAATTTTGGAAACCTTAATCGAACATAATTAATTTTAGAAGCTCAAAAATTTATTAATAATAGATTAAATAATGAATCTATTCATTTCTTTTCTAAACTCGGCCTAAAATTTAATGTAATTTAAATTGTATTTTCCAGCTAAACTCTAGAAAAACTAGCTGCTAAAATATTAGAATTTATGTTCTCTAATAAATAAGTTAATCTATTTTTGCAATTTAGTAGTAACTCCAATAAGAATAATTGTAATTTATTTAAATACTTACATTTGCTTTTTCTCTAAAAATTTTAGAATTTCTAATTATCAAAAATAGAGGAGAACAAATTTCTTTGACTGTTGTCAAGTGGACTATGTGTGCAATTTTTGCTTTGCATGAAAAGATTGATTCACATTAAATGTAAATAGTAAAAAAGTAAATATGTTTAATTTTTCAAGATAAATTTTATAATTTTCCCCTTATTTTTGATTGTTTAGAAAATAAAATTTCTATTCAAAAGGTAAATCAAATTGTTTAATTGCAATATTATTTTTATATGAATTAATAAGATAATTATTTAAAAATTAGTTAGAAAATATTTGAATTAGATGAATAATTATATGAATAATGGTTTAAAACAAAAAAACACCCTAATATTTTGCTTTCTATAGAATATCTGAGAATAAAAAAAATCTAATAGCATTATCCTAAAAATATGAATATTTCCCTAGAAAATTTCAATATATCATTATCTGAATATAATGAGGACGAATAAAAAGTTATTATTAAAAATTGGATATTAGACATGAATAATAGTTAAAAGTTTCAATAAATTCTTCCTTTATTCTTCAACATAATAAAAAGAGGGGAATCATCTACCGAAGTGTTGATTTTAATTAATTCAATCCTTTAATAAAATAAGTAGATTCAACTGAGCATAGGATCTCTAAATTTAAAATCTTTATTCTAAATCTTTTACAATAATGCTAATGAGGAACTTAGAGTAATTTTGATGAAATTTTTTTGCAAAGAATACCCTATACCATTCTTATATTAAAATCCTATATAAGATAATATTTAATAAAAATCTGAATTGTTTATATTAAACAGCAACTTATATTATTTGATTGATTATGGTTATACAATTATTAATTTGTCTTTTAGCTTGAATCAAAAAAAGATTGGCAAAACAGAACTTATCAACGAAATTTTTTATAAAAGGGAAAAATTTGAAACAAGTGATACTTGTAAAATGAATCAAGATACAATTGATATTATGTTTGATTTTGAATTTAAGAACACAAGAAATTATATAATAGCAGACGTTCATGGAATTATTCTCCCTGAAATCTTGTCGAAAGTAATTCCTTTTTTCAATTTTTGGATTGTATAAATGGATTCAGAAAGTGAACTTGAAGAAAATTTCAATTAAACAAAAAAGCTATTATCAACTACCCTATCAAAAACTATCAAGTTTGAAATTTGCTTTCTTGTAAGAAATTCAAATGATTAAGAATTAATTAAAAATTAAAATATTATTTAAGATATAAAACAATATGGAATAAAAATTCTTCATATTCCTAATTTAAGAGCTATTTAAATTGATAGATAATTTAAAATAAATTAGATTGAAAATGTTTCAAAATTTTTATTCAATTGTATTTTAGATCATCAAAATCTAATTCATCAAAACATAAAGCCTATTTAATCTTAATAAATTTAGTTCTTAAGAATTTTTGAGTAATTTTATAAATAATACTCTATTAAAATTAATGAAATAAAACACCATTACAAACTAATTTCAAAAATATAAGATAAATTAAATCAAATAGTTGCCAATGAAGATGGGTTCTATAATTAAAACTCGTTTCCTATCAGAGGTATTTAATGGAAAATAAAGAAA